AACAGCTTTTGTTTGGCCGGATTGAGGGGGCTAAGCGGGCGCGGCACGGGCTAGAGAAGAGATGGAGTGATGTGGTACAGGAGGACGTGGAGCTGAGTGGACTTGCCGATGACTGGTACCAGCGGTGTCAAGATCGGCCTCTGTGGAGGAGGCTCGTGAAGGATGATACTGGGCAGTTGGAGGCAGTCGGCCTCCAACAACAACGGAGGGCGGAGGAGCGACGCTCACAACAACGAGCGGAGCGCCGGGTGGCTAAAGCACAGCAGGTTGGCACAGTAGGGGGCACAGGTGGTGCATCAGCCAGTCATCTCAGTCAGTCGACCCGTGGCACCTGGGTCTGCCCAGTGACCTCCTGCCAGCGGGCGTTCGACACTTCACGTGGCCTCACGGTGCACATAGCCTGGCACAAGCGTCGTGGTGACGTCACCGCCACTTAGTGGCGAATGGCGGTTGTTGTTGTTAGTGTGTGAGTGAATGTGTGAGTGTGTGTGAGTGTGTGAGTGAGTGAGTGTGTGAGTGTGTGAGCGTGTGTGAGTGTGAGTGAGTGTGTGAGTGTGTGAGTGAGTGTGTGCGAGTGAGTGTGTGAGTGAGTGAGTGTGTGATTGTGTGAGTGAGTGTGTGTGAGTGTGTGTGAGTGTGTGATTGTGTGAGTGAGTGTGTGTGAGTGTGTGAGTGAGTGAGTGTGTGAGTGTGTGAGCGTGTGTGAGTGAGTGAGTGTGAGTGAGTGTGAGTGTGTGAGTGAGTGTGTGCGAGTGAGTGATTGTGTGAGTGTGTGTGTGAGTGTGTGTGTGAGTGTGTGTGTGAGTGTGTGAGTGAGTGTGTGAGTGAGTGTGTGTGTGAGTGGGTGAGTGAGTGAGTGTGTGTGTGAGTGAGTGAGTGTGAGTGAGTGTGAGTGTGTGTGTGAGTGTGTGCGAGTTAGTGAGTGTGTGATTGTGTGAGTGTGTGTGTGAGTGTGTGTGTGAGTGTGTGTGTGAGTGTGTGAGTGAGTGTGTGAGTGAGTGTGTGTGTGTGAGTGGGTGAGTGAGTGAGTGTGTGAGTGTGTGAGTGAGTGTGTGAGTGAGTGTGTGATTGTGTGAGTGTGTGTGTGAGTGTGTGATTGTGTGAGTGAGTGTGTGAGTGTGTGTGAGTGATTGTGTGAGTGAGTGAGTGTGTGAGTGTGTGTGAGTGTGTGTGTGAGTGTGTGATTGTGTGAGTATGTGTGTGTGAGTGAGTGTGTGAGTGAGTGAGTGTGTGAGTGAGTGTGTGAGTGATTGTGTGAGTGAGTGTGTGTGAGTGTGTGAGTGAGTGAGTGTGTGAGTGTGTGAGCGTGTGTGAGTGAGTGTGAGTGAGTGTGTGAGTGTGTGAGTGAGTGTGTGCGAGTGAGTGTGTGAGTGAGTGAGTGTGTGATTGTGTGAGTGAGTGTGTGTGAGTGTGTGTGAGTGTGTGATTGTGTGAGTGAGTGTGTGTGTGTGAGTGAGTGTGTGAGCGTGTGTGAGTGAGTGTGAGTGAGTGTGTGTGAGTGTGTGAGTGAGTGTGTGAGTGAGTGTGTGATTGTGTGAGTGTGTGTGTGAGTGTGTGATTGTGTGAGTGAGTGTGTGAGTGTGTATGAGTGATTGTGTGAGTGAGTGAGTGTGTGAGTGTGTGTGTGAGTGTGTGATTGTGTGAGTATGTGTGTGTGAGTGAGTGTGTGAGTGAGTGAGTGTGTGAGTGAGTGTGTGAGTGATTGTGTGAGTGAGTGTGTGTGAGTGTGTGAGTGAGTGAGTGTGTGAGTGTGTCAGCATGTGTGAGTGAGTGTGTGAGTGTGTGAGTGAGTGTGTGCGAGTGAGTGTGTGAGTGAGTGAGTGTGTGATTGTGTGAGTGAGTGTGTGTGAGTGTGTGTGAGTGTGTGATTGTGTGAGTGAGTGTGTGTGTGTGAGTGAGTGTGTGAGCGTGTGTGAGTGAGTGTGAGTGAGTGTGAGTGAGTGTGTGAGTGAGTGTGTGCGAGTGAGTGTGTGTGTGAGTGTGTGAGTGAGTGTGTGAGTGAGTGTGTGATTGTGTGAGTGTGTGTGAGTGTGTGATTGTGTGAGTGAGTGTGTGAGTGTGTATGAGTGATTGTGTGAGTGAGTGAGTGTGTGAGTGTGTGTGTGAGTGTGTGATTGTGTGAGTGTGTGTGTGTGAGTGAGTGTGTGAGTGAGTGAGTGTGTGAGTGTGTGTGTGCCTCAGTGGCCCGTGATCACAAATCTCTATTTGACTCTATCAAAAAAGTAACCTGCAGCGCCACACCTATTGCAATCATTAGGGGAAAAAACGGTGATCCAATCTCCGACCCCCAGGAACAGGTTTGCAGATTTGCTGGACATTTCTGTGAGGTCCTGGGGGAGGGGAAATCCCTCAGCCAGGAAACCATCGTGGCACAAAGTGAGGATGACCCTGCTGAGGCTGCGGTGCCTCAAATATTGGACTGGGCCCGGGTTAAACTACGTGGCCGGGAATCAGAGCCATTCCCTGTACACTTTGGGGTGCGACAGGGATGTCCTCTGGCTCCCACATGATTTAACATCTATTTTGACCACGTAGTTCGTGAAGACTTTAATAGCTGTACTGGGGGAATTTACATTTGGTACAGATATAATGGGAGACTGATCGATGCCCGGGTGCGGTCAATGGATGCCTCCCTATTGGTCAACCACGTGATGTATGCCGATGATTTGGTAATTGCTGCTCATTCAGAGGAGGAGTTGGAGACGCCGCTGCTGAAACTGGAGCGTGCCACTAAGAGGTGGGGACTCACCATCAGCCCCACCAAAACTCAGCACCTGCCTGGGTATTTTGTACCATCGGACACTCCACCTCCACAACTCCCAATTGGTGCGTTGGCTTGGTCATGTTGCCCGCATGCCCAGCCACCGCATGCTTAAATAGCTTTTGTTCAGCCTGTGTGAGTGAGTGTGTGTGAGTGTGTACGTAACTCCATCAAAAAAGTAACCTGCAGAGCCGCACCTATTACCATTATTAGGGGAAAGAACGGTGATCCAATCTCTGACCCCCAGGAACAGGTTTGCAGATTTGCTGAGCATTTCTGTGAGGTCCTGGGGGAGGGGAAATCCCTCGGCCTGGAAAACATCGCGGGACAAAGTTGGGATGACCCTGCTGAGGCTGCGGTACCTCAAATATTGGAAGAAGAAATCACCCCCAGTGTGTAGCTGGCTAAGTGGAAGCTACCTGGGTCTGTTGCTCCGCACGAAGCTTTAGTCATTCCCTCCCTTCTCTACGCCTGCGAAACGTGGACCCCTCTATAATGGAACTTCACCGGTTATAAACATTTAGGCTGGCCTGCCTACGCTCCATCCTGGGTTCAACCTGCAGGTTGGATTGTGTGAGGAGCTCACAAATCCTTGAAAGATCTGGACAAAGTCCCATCGGTGAGCTCCTCCGGCAGGCAAGGCTGCGTTGGCTGGGTCATGTAGCCCGCATGCCCAGCCAACGCATGCCGAAACAGCTTTTGTTTGGCCGGATTGAGCGGGCTAAATGGGCGCGGCACGGGCTAGAGAAGAGATGGAGTGATGTGGTACAGGAGGACGTGGAGCTGAGTGGACTTGCCGATGACTGGTACCAGCGGTGTCAAGATCGGCCTCAGTGGAGGAGGCTCGTGAAGGACGCTGCTACTGGGCAGTTGGAGGCAGTCGCCCTCCAACAACAACCGAGGGCGGAGGAGCGACGCTCAGAACAACGAGCGGAGCACCAGGTGGCTGAAGCACAGCAGGTTGGCACAGTAGGGGGCACAGGTGGTGCATCAGCCAGTCATCTCAGTCAGTCGACCCGTGGCACCTGGGTCTGCCCTGTGACCTCCTGCCAGCGGGCGTTCGACACTTCACGTAGCCTCAAGGTGCACATGGCCTGGCACAAGCGTCGTGGTGACGTCACCGCCACTTAGTGGCGAATGGCGGTTGTTGTTGTTGTGTGTGTGTCTTTGCAGCCTCGCTCGTATAGGTGTGTGTGTCAGTGTGTGTTTGTTTGTGAGTGTTTGTAAGTGCGAGTGTGAGTTTGTGTGTGTGAGTTTGGGTGTGAGTGTGTGTGAGTGTTTGCCAGTGTTTGTGAGTGCGAGTGTGAGTTTGTGTGTGTGAGTCTGGGTGTGAGTGTGTGTGAGTGTTTGTCAGTGCGAGTGTGAGTTTGTGTGTGTGAGTTTGTACGTGTGAGTTTGCGTGTGTGAATGCGTGTGTGAATGTGTGTGTGTTCGGGTGTGTGAGAGTGTGTGAGTTTGTGTGTGAATGTGTGTTAGTGTGTGTGTGTGTCTGGGGAGCGGTGGTGTAGTGGTTAGCGCTACGCTGCGCTATGAACCCGGCGACCCGGGTTCAATTCCCGCTCACGGCCAACACCGGTGACGATTATCTGAACCGGTCCCGTGCTTCCTCTAGGTCGACTTAGCCTCAAATAAGTACCCGGTACAGTGTGTAAACATTTCCACTGGGGGAGACAAAGGCGGCCGGGCGTGGTGCTGGCCACCCACCCCCTCGTGTGCCGTTCCGGCCTTCATAGGCGCTTGCTAACAGCACTTGCCCCAACAGTCTGTTACAGGCTACACGGGGGATCTTTGTCTTTGTGTGCGGATGGGTGTGTAAAGTCAACAAATGCATGCCAGTTATAGAACAGGGACAAGCAGCTCCGTGTAGCCTTAAACAGACCGTGGGACAAAGTGAGTCTGGGTCTAATGGTTCTCTGTGTGTGCCTATGAGTCTCTCTGTCATTCGATGGGTCTCTGCGTGTCTATGGGTCTCTGTGTGAGTCTCTGTGCGAGTCTGTGGGTCTCTGTGAGTGTTTATTTGTGTATCTGTGTGAGTTTATGGGTCTCTGTTTGAGCCTGTGCGAGTCTGTAGGTCCCTACGTGTATCTATGGTTGTCTATGTGGGTCTGTGGGTATCTGTGTGAGTCTCTGGGTCTCTGTGTGAGTCTCTGGAGCTCTGTGTGATTCTATGAGTCTCTGTGTGAATCTATGGATCTCTGTGTGAGTCTGTGTGTGATGAGACTGTTGTGTGATTTTGCAGCTGGAACGCCTCCTGGAAACCAATATCGCAGCAGCAGTGACATCAGCAGCTACAACAACATCATCATCAGCAGCAATTATCATAAGTACATCATCATCATCAGCAGCAGCAGCAGCGGCAACATCAGCACCACCGACATCTCATCAGAAGCAACTCCATCATCAGCAACTTTCATCAGCAGTAGCATCAGCAGCACCAGCACCACCACCATCATCAGCAATAACAACTTTTCAATTTTGTCATCAACAGCAGTGGTGTCATCAGCAAGTCCATCAGCATCAGCAGCACCACCATCATCGTCAGCAGAAGTAGCACCCTCACCAGGAGTAAAGATGAGCTCTTCCCCATCACTATCAGCACGCCCATCATCATCATCATCAGTACGACTGCCATCATCATCATCAGTACGACTGCCATCATCATCATCATTACGACTGCCATCATCATCATCATCATCAGTACGACTGCCATCATCATCAGTACGGCCATCATCATCATCATCATCAGTACGACTGCCATCATCATCAGAACGACCACCATCATCAGCACGACCATCATCAGCACGACCATCATCAGCACGACCGCCATCATCATCATCAGCATCATCATCATCAGCTCGCCCCGATGCGTCATTGCTTCTCTACCGCCTCCAAACCATCGGTCGCATCCGGCGACGTTGGCTAGACGTCGTTCGGAACTCCAGGCCTGCTGTCTGCAGCAGCCACAACAGCCACAACAACCACAACTACCACAACAACCACATCGGCCACAACCACACGTCCCCACCACCGTCGCCGCCACCGCCGGCGTCGGAGCGCCGACGCTGGGCACCGCCTCCACCCAAGCGTCCGCCGGACGTGTTCACGTTCAGCGCCAGCGAGATCGACCACCTCGCAACTGACGGCGGTGGCGCCGCTCGTGACGAACGAGGCGGCGGACGAGGCGGCGGACGAGGCGGCGGACGAGGTGGCGGACGAGGTGGGGTGCGGAGGAGCAGGCGAGTTTTGTATCCGCCCAGCTGCGCGAGGAGCCGCAGGAGGAGGGAGGCGTTGTCGGCCCCGGAGTTGGACCACGCGGTGCTGCTGCTTGCCTTCTTCACCCTGGCCTTCGGCCTGCAGGTGTGGTGGTGGTGGAGGAGGTGGTGGTGGTGGTGGAGTTAGTGGAGATGATGGTGGTGTTGGTGGTGGAGGTGATGGTGGTGCAGGTGGTGGAGGTGGTGGTGGTGGAGGTAGTGGAGCTGATGGTGGTGGTGGTGGTGGTGGAGAAGGTGGTGGTGGTGGTGGTGGTGGTAGTGATGGTGGTGGAGGTAGTGGAGCTGATGGTGGTGGTGGTGGTGGTGATGGTGGTGGAGGTAGTGGAGCTGATGGTGGTGGTGGAGGAGGTGATGGTGGTGGAGGTAGTGGAGCTGATGGTGGTGGTGGAGAAGGTGGTGGTGGTGCAGGTGGTGGAGGTGATGGTGGTGGAGGTAGTGGAGCTGATGGTGGTGGTGGTGGGGAAGGTGGTGGTGGTGCAGGTGGTGGAGGTGATAGTGGTGGAGGTAGTGGAGCTGATGGTGGTGGTGGAGATGATGGTGGTGGTGGAGAAGGTGGTGGTGGAGATGATGGTGGTGGTGGTGGTGGAGGTAGTGGTGGTGGTGGTGGAGGTAGTGGAGATGATGGTGGTGGTGGTGGAGAAGGTGGTGGTGCAGGTGGTGGAGATGATGATGGTGGTGGTGGTGGTGGAGAAGGTGGTGGTGCAGGTGGTGGAGGTGATGGAGGTAGTGGAGCTGATGGTGGTGGTGGTGGTGGTGGTGGAGAAGGTGGTGGTGGTGCAGGTGGTGGAGGTGATGGTGGTGGAGGTAGTGGAGCTGATGGTGGTGGTGGTGGAGAAGGTGGTGGTGCAGGTGGTGGAGATGATGATGATGGTGTTGGTGGTGGTGGTGTTGGTTGTGATGGTGATTGAGATGGCGATGGTGGTGATGCAGGTGGAGTGAGGAGGAGTAGTCACCTGTTGGCATCCGCTCCCCCGGGCAGACCCGCGTGGTGCTGCTGCTCACCCTCTTCACCTGCTGGCCTTCGGCCTGCAGGTGTGGTGGTGGTGGAGGTGGCTCTGGTGGAGCCGGTGGTAGTGGTGTAACGATGGTGGTGGAGGTGGCGGTGAAGATGATGGTGGCGGGCGAGTGTGGGGATACTCACAATCGCCCGGTTGGTGTGTTGTTCAGTTGGGGTTTGTCCCGGTGAATGAAAGGGTCGCCTCAATGAGACTTCGGGTCTCAGAAAGATAAAGCTCTGACCGACCGTCGTCTGTGCTTATGCACCAAACAGCAGTTCAGAGCATTCGGCCTTCTTGCAGATGGTGGGGTGGAGTGCTCGGTCAGAGTGCCGCCCACCAACTCCACAGACTTACCGGGTGGCTTCAATGCTCGCGTGGGAAACGATGGAGGCGCATGGAGAGGCGTGATTTGGAGGAATGGCCCCCACCCCCTGGCCTGAATCCGAACGGTGAGATTTGCATTGGAATCCTGGGCCAGTCGCGGGATGCCAATGACAAACACCGTGCCCGAAGGCAAAGATGTTCGCGAGTGTACTCGGCACCCCGGAGCGCTTTGGGCTGAAAGACCAACGGTTGACTTCATAGTTGTATCATCGGACCGACGGCCGTATGTTCTGGACACTCGGGTGAAGAGTGGGGGGGGGGGGGCAGAGCTGTCAACTGAACACACCGCCTGGTGGTGGTAAGTTAGTTGGATCCGACGCTCGGGGCACCGGCCAGCTAGACGTGGAAGGCCCAAACGGATAGCGCCGGGATGTCCGGGAACGTCTGGCGGAAGACCCAGTCCGGAGAGATTTCAACGTCCACATCCGGCGAAAAAACTCGCGCTGAACTCTCCCGTGGAGGGCGTGGACGTTGAGCCGGAGCGGACGGTGCTCGGAACCTCGTTTGTGGTTTGCAGCTGCGGATGGCTGCGGGCCTCAAGGCAGTTCGTCCCCGTCATGGCGGCAAACCCTTGGACCTGCTGGTTGGACACCGGCGGTGAGGGATGCTGTCAAGTTGATGAAGTGGAGGAGGCTTTCCCTGAGCTATGCTCGGGGAAAAAAAGGCCTCCAGACTCGATTGCGAGGTGCCGGCTTGCCACGTGGGGCGGCAGCTGCGGCAGCCGCTGAAGCGAACGCCCCTTAGGGGGCGCGGGAGGAGTTTGGAGGGTCGACGGAGAGGGACCGCACGGCAGCCTCAAAGACGTTCCGGCAAACCACCCGACGCCTTAGGAGGGGGGGTCGGCGGGAATGTGGCCGCCAGGCCGTTCTCAGTTAGGGCGTCGGCGTGACATTGATCTCGACTAAGGGGTAAGTCGAGAGGTCGAAGGGAGACTTTGAGGAGCTCCTCAACCCAGTGGAGGTGTCCTCCTCTCACGAGCCAGCCCTGGAAACAGCTGGGGGGGGGGGGGGGTGCGGGGGTCGGATCCATCGTGGCGGCAAAGCTGCCGGATGTGAACGAGATTCGCCGCAGAGTTGTTGAAAGCGCCGGAGATTGTAGGGGTGTCGTGGTTCCCGCGTCCTCTTCAACGTTGCGTGGAAGGTGGGTGTGCAGTACCTCTGGATTGGCAAACTGGGGTCGCGGTTCCCATTTTTAGAAAAGGCGACCAGGGTGTGCGCTCCAACTGAGGAGGAATCGCGCTCCTCGGCGTCCCGGGCAAAGCTTTTGCCCGAGTGCTGAGGAAGAGGAAGTTCCGCCCGGTGGTCGAGCCTCAGATTCAGGAGGAACAATGGAGATTCCGTCATGGCCGTGGAACAATGGACCACCTCTTATACCCTCTCGCAGATATTTGAGGCCTCATTTGGAGTAAGCTGCTGCGGCCTACCTCTGCCTCATGGACTTGGAGAAAGCGCGCGACCGGGTTCCCCGCAACGCCTATGTGGCAGGTGCTGTGGGAGTACGATGCTGCCCAGTGCCCTATCGGGTCCCCCCCCTCTATGCCCGGAGTGAGAGCTGTGTCCACGTTCTTGGTGCTAAACCAAAGTCGTTCACTGTGGCCGTTGGACTCCGCCAAGGGCGCGTCCCGCCTCCACTCCTGTTTTTGCGACTTCCATGGACAGAATATCCGAGGTGTGAGACGAGTACCCAGTAACGGGGGGGGGGGGGGGGGGGGGGGACATGGAGGTAGCGTCGCTGCGTTTTCCAGACGAGGTTGCCCTCTTTGCCTCGTCTGCCTGCGATCTTCAGCCTGAGCTTGAGCGGTTTCATGCCGTGTGCGGAAGCGGCCGGGGACGAGGATCAGCACCACCAAATCCGAGGTCCGTGGTTCCCTCCCAGGAGGGCGGGAGCAGCTGCCCGTCGTCGAGGAGTTCAAGTGCCTCGGGGGGGCGGGGGGGGGGGCGGGTTTCTTTCGCGAGCGACGGCGAGTAAGGAGCGGGAGATCGGCCGGCGGAGCGTTGCGGGCCGTCCGAAGTGCTGCGCCCGGTTCGCCGCACCGTTCCGTGGTAGTGCCAGCCGGGAGCTGGCTCCTCGTACAATCTACAGGTCGACCTACGTTCCCGCCCTCGCCTACGATGGCCACGAGCTTTGGGTGACGGCAGGAAGGATGAGGTCCCTCCGCAGGGTTGTCCGGCTCCCTCTCCGTGACCGGGCGAGGGGCTCGGTAATCCGGGAGAGCATCGGAGTCAGAGGCCCCCCCTGCTGTTCCTCCGGATCGAGAGGAGCCGGTTGAGGTGGTTCGGGCACCCTGGTGAGGATGCCCCCCCCCCACCCCCCCTCCCCGGCAGACTCCCCCTGGAAGTCTACCGGGCAGCAGCAGCAGCAGCAGCAGCAGGAACGGTCCCACTGGGCCGAGACCCCTGGGCCGGCCCAGGACCACGCGGTTGGTGGTGGGACGATGTCGCCCGGTTGATCTGGGGGCGATGTCGCCCGGCTGGCCTGGGAACGCTGGGGAATTCCCCAGGAAGAGCGAGAGTCTGTGTATAGTAGTGTATAGTGTAGTGTATAGTATAGTGTATGGTAAAGTATAGTAGTGTGTAGTAGTGTATAGTGTATGGTAAAGTATAGTAGTGTGTGGTAGTGTAGAGCTGTCGCCAGGGACAGGGAGGTGTGGACCGCCTTACTCATCATGCTGCCGTCGCGACCCTCACCAGGATACGCGGATTGAGGAACGAACGAAATAAAAATTAGATTTTCTTCCTCCACCCTCTGCACCACTCTCCATCCCTACATCCACCACCATCACCACTCTCCATGCATACATCCACCACCACCACCACTCTCCATCCATACATCCACCACCACCACCACTCTCCATCCACCACCACTCTCCATGCACCACCACCACTCTCCATTCGTCCATCCACCACCACCACTCTCCATGCACCACCACTCTCCATCCGTCCACCCACCACCACCACTACCACCACTCTCCATTCGTCCATCCACCACCACCACCACTCTCCATCCATCCACCACCACCACCTCTCTACCATCCTCCACCACCTCCATTACCACTCTCCATCCATACATCCACTACTACCACCACCACCACCACTCTCCATCCACCACCACCACCACCTCTCTACCATCCTCCACCACTCTCCATCCACCACCACCACCACCTCTCTACCATCCTCCACCACCTCTACCACCTCCCCCGCCACCCCGGCAACAGATCTACAACGCCATCGAGAACCTGGACGACCACGTGGAGCGCTACGACTTGCGGGGCCTCGCCGCGGCGCTTCGCCGGCAGCTCCACGGGCAGGAGGCGGCGCTGGCCCCGCTGCCGGCGGCGTTGGCCGAGTACCTGGCGGTGCGCGAGCACGGCCGCCCGCTGCTCCTCTCGCTGCACGGCACCGGCGGCGTGGGCAAGAGCGTCGCCGGGAGAGCCGTCGAGCGCCACTTCACGGCGCTGGCGGGCGGCGCCCGCGTGGCGCTGCTGCACCGCGCTCGCTGCGCGTTTGGCGGTGGAGGCGGTGGAGGCGGTGGAGGCGGTGGAGGCGGTGGAGGCGGTGGAGGCGGTGGAGGCGGTGGCGACGACGGGCACGTGGTGTCGCGGTACCTGGCCGACTTGAACGCCACCATCGCGGAGGTGGGGGTCGGTTGCCGTTGTTGCTCACGACGTTGTTGTTGTTGTTGTTGTTGTTGACGTTGTTGTTGTTGACGTTGTTGTTGTTGACGTTGTTGTTGTTGACGTTGTTGTTGACGTTGTTGTCGTTGTTGTTGACGTTGTCGTTGTTGTCGTTGTTGATGTTGATGTTGTTGTTGACGTTATTGTTGACGTTGTTGTTGTTGACGTTGTCGTTTTTGACGTTGCTGACGACGTTGTTGTTGTTGTTGTTGACGTTGTTGTTGTTGACGTTGTTGTTGTTGACGTTGTCGTTGTTGACGTTGTTGTTGACGTTGTTGTCGTTGTCTTCGTTGTTGACGTTGTTGTTGACGTCGTTGTTGTTGATGTTGTTGTTGTTGTCATCGTCGTTGTCGTCGTCATCGTCGTTGTTGTCATCGTCGTCGTTGTTGTTGACGTTGTTGTTATCGTCGTTGTTGTTGACATTGTTGTTGTTGTCATCGTCCTCGTTGTTGTTGACGTTGTTGTTGTTGTCATCGTCGTTGTTGCTATCACGAGGTGGATTGCCAAGTGGATCGCTTGGTGCAATAATTAATCACGTCACACCCCCTCTTGACGTCACACCCCCCCCCCCTCCCCCATTGTGACGTCGCGCACCTTTGTGACGTCACACCCGTTCGTGACGTCACCCCCCCCCCCCTTTGCGACGTCACACCCCTTTGTCCAGGTGACGAGGGAGGCGGAGGGAGCCCAGATGATTCCCGTCTTCATCTTCGACGAGGTGGAGGAGATGCCGGCGGCGGTCCTGGACTTCCTGCACGCCAGGACGGCGGCGTCCACCTCCTCGGCGTCCACCTCCTCGGCGTCCACCTCCTCAGCCGCCTCCTCGTCGCGCCAGCAGCACGCCGGGCAGCCCAACGCCATCTACGTCCTCATCAGCAGCCTCGGCGGCGAGGAGATCATGGCCCACGCGCTGCGTGACGGTGAGGACGTCGTCAACGTCGTCATCGTCGTCGTCGTCAACGTCATCATCGTCAACGTCATCAACGTCAACGTCAACGTCGTCATCGTCAACGTCGTAATAGTCGTCAACGTCATCGTCAACATCGTCATCTTCACCATCTTCACCACCGTCATCTTCACCATCTTCACCATCATCATCGTCATCTTCACCATCATCATCGTCATCATCTTCACCATCTTCACCATCATCATCATCTTCACCATCACCATCGTCATCTTCACCATCAACATCATCATCATCGTCAACATCGTCATCTTCAACATCAACATCATCGTCATCTTCACCATCTTCACCATCACCATCGTCATCTTCACCATCAACATCATCATCATCATCATCGTCATCTTCAACATCAACATCATCGTCATCTTCACCATCTTCACCATCATCACCATCACCATCGTCATCTTCACCATCAACATCATCATCATCGTCAACATCGTCATCTTCAACATCAACATCATCGTCATCTTCACCATCTTCACCATCACCATCGTCATCTTCACCATCAACATCATCATCATCATCATCGTCATCTTCAACATCAACATCATCGTCATCTTCACCATCTTCACCATCATCATCGTCATCTTCACCATCAACATCGTCATCTTCACCATCAGCATCGTCATCTTCACCATCTTCACCATCATCATCGTCATCTTCACCATCAACATCGTCATCTTCACCATCAACATCGTCATCTTCACCATCAACATCGTCATCTTCACCATCAACATCGTCATCTTCACCATCATCATCGTCATCTTCACCATCAACATCGTCATTTTCACCATCAACATCGTCATCTTCACCATCAGCATCGTCATCTTCACCATCTTCACCATCATCATCGTCATCTTCACCATCAGCATCGTCATCTTCACCATCTTCACCATCATCACCATCATCATCGTCATCTTCACCATCATCACCATCATCATCGTCATCTTCACCATCTTCACCATCATCATCGTCATCTTCACCATCAACGTCGTCATCTTCACCATCTTCACCACCGTCATCTTCACCATCATCATCACCATCATCATCGTCATCTTCACCATCTTCACCACCGTCATCTTCACCATCTTCACCATCATCATCGTCATCTTCACCATCATCATCGTCATCATCTTCACCATCTTCACCATCATCATCATCATCGTCATCTTCACCATCATCATCATCATCATCGTCATCTTCACCATCACCATCGTCATCATCTTCACCATCTTCACCATCATCATCGTCATCTTCACCATCATCATCGTCATCATCTTCACCATCTTCACCATCATCATCATCATCGTCATCTTCACCATCACCATCGTCATCTTCACCATAAACATCTTCACCATCTTCACCATCATCATCGTCATCTTCACCATCATCATAGTCATCATCTTCACCATCTTCACCATCATCATCATCGTCATCTTCACCATCACCATCGTCATTTTCACCATCAACATCATCACCATCATCATCACCATCATCATCGTCATATTCACCATCTTCACCATCATCATCATCATCGTCATCTTCAACATCAACATCATCGTCATCTTCACCATCATCATCATCACCATCATCATCGTCATATTCACCATCTTCACCATCATCACTCCTCCCCGTGTCCCCCCCCCCACCCCCCCCACCACCCCCCCCCTCCTTACAGGGGAGTCGCCCTCATGGCCCTCATCAGTGGTGCCCGCCCTCCGGCGCTGGCTGGAGAATGGCGGTGGTGCCGGTGGTGATGCCGGTGGCGGTAATGGTGGCGGTGGCGATGCTGGCGGTGATACCGGTGGTGGTGATGCTGGCGGTGGTGATGCTGGCGGTGATGCCGGTGGCAGTGGTGATACCGGTGGTGGTGATGCCGGCGGCGGTGATGCTGGCGGTGATGCCGGTGGCGGTGGTGATACCGGTGGCGGTGATGCCGGCGGCGGTGATGCTGGCGGTGATACCGGCGGTGGTGGTGATGCTGCTGGCGGCTTTACCGGCGGCGGCGGTGATACAGACGTTGTGACCGGCGGCGGCGGTGGCGGCGGTCCCGGCGGCGGCTTTACCGGCGGTGACACCGGCGGTACCGTCAGCACCGCCGCCGCCTGGCGTGGCCACGCGCTGTTTGCCGCGGCCCGCCTGGTGCCCTTGTCTCCGCTGCGCGAGTGCCACGTGCGTCTGTGCGTGCGCGACGAGATGCTGCAGGAGGGCCTCTACCCCACAGAGGGCGACGTGCGGCGCCTGGCGGGCGACGAGGAGTACCTGGGCGGGGCCCGCTGGGCCGTCAGGGGCTGCAAGGGCGTCGCGGCAAAGGTCAACCGGCTACAGTGACCGTGGCGGAGGAGGAGGACGAGGATGGAGGAGGAGGAGGATGGAGGACGAGGTGGGAGATGAGGTGGAGGGAAGAGGTGGACGACGATGAGGAGGTGGTGGCGGTGGCGGTGATGTACAGCAGGGTGCGTGGACGAATCCCCCGCCTGGCCCTTCTGCACGACGGGGATACAGCGTTTCCCCCTCGCACCCACGCACACGCCGAGGGTTTTTTTCACTCGGGTGCTCGGCGCCGCGCACCTGCCGCGTCTGTCACGTGACCTCCCGCGTCTGTCACATGACCTCCCGCGTCTGTCACGTGACCTCCTGCACCCAGCCTGGCACAAGCGCCGTGTTGACGTCACCGGCGGCGAGCGTCAGCTGCTGTTGACTGTTTTAATAAATTCGCTTTTTTTTTAAACCCCCCCCCCCCCCCCCACAAATCGTGCGAGTGTCTCCCGTGTCACGAATACGCCTGGGCCGCTCCTAGGTCGACTCGGCCTCAAACGAGTTCCTCAACGTCGCCACTGGGGGGGGGGGAGGGGGGAGACAAAGACGGCCGGGAGTGGTGCTGTCCACCCGCACCCTCGTGGTGCCCACAGCGCCCGGTCGCCTTCAATGGATGTTGCTCTCGAACAGCACTTGCCCCCCACACAGCCTGTCAGAGGTCACACCTGGGGCGTCTTTGTCTTTGTGCAGCGTGGGGAGCGGTTGCGCAGTGGTTGGCGCGCTGCGCTATGACCCGGGTCCAGTGATGGATTCATCTGAAGCCGGTTCCTGGGCCTCCCCTAGGTCGACTCGGCCTCAAACGAGTGCGGCGGAGTGAAACATCTCTTGGTTCTTTCGGTGAAGTCACCACCGCGTAGATAGGGAAACAATAAAATAATAAAAATATAAAACGATAAAATTCTCACGACGTTTTTCGACTGCAGCACGAGCGATCATCATCATCATCAGGGTGTGAAAACCAGAGAAAGAAAATTTGAAGAAAGTGGCGTTTTTTTTTTACGTTAACACCACGGAGAGCGATTTGACAGTCATTCAGATGGACGAGTCCATCTATGTTCGGATAAGAGGAGGGGGGGAGACGAAAAATAATGGATGCGGTCTGAAAGCCACCGTAAGCGTGAACAATCAATTAAGACCCGAAATGGTTTATCAAATCCTTCCAATGATTGCTAAGCCAGAATCCATCTTCTCGGTTGAAATTGTCTCTGTGTTTGCATATGCCCATAGACCCAATGAACGAATCTCTCATGGTAGCCAGATGGCTTGCAAAGAACCTCTGTCTTGGAGAAGTCAATGTCATTGTTTTATATTTTTATTATTTTATTGTTTCCCTTCTTACGTGGTGGTGACTTTACCGGAAGAAACCAAGAATATGAATCCCTGCAGTCACGAAAGCTTTAAATCAAAATTTTTTTGGGTTCTGTCGGTAAAGTCACGGAGAAGGGAAATAATCCCCATATATATATAAAAAAGGCAAAGCTGTGATTGTGTGTGTCCGTTCAAAATGTTTAGCGTACTTCCCGACATGCAGCAAACTTTAAATTTGCCATGTGGGTACTTTCCAGACTGTACACCATGCAACAATTATAAAAATACACTTTTGTTTATTTTTTAGGGTGGGGTAGGGTAGCTCAATAATGCATCATTTTTTTTGTTTGCACGGCAAGTGAGCTGTGACGTCAAATCAGTCACGTGACCCTGGCACGTGCAAACGTAACGGATTGTAGTGTAGCGGTTAGCGCGCTGTCTCTTGTGTGTGTGTCTGTGTGCAGTGTTGACAAAGGAGGCAGGAGACTCCTTTGTAGGCAACGCTGTTTCTTTACTCTAACGTCAGAGAACGTCGCTATCACAGAGAGGCGTAATGGCCTCTCCCACCCCGATAGCCTAGCGCGCAGGGGTGGGGACACATTGGTTGACTCGCGGGCCACAACGGGTTCTAACATTTGACGGAGTGCGCCGGGCCAGGAACAGATGTATGGAGTGGTTTTGTGTGCACTGATATCAGTGACGCGTTAAGAATCATTGCATGAGAGGACTTGCCCTTTAACAGGTAGCAGAGCTAAATTTTGATTTAAAGCTTTCGTGACTGCAGTAATTCATATTCTTAGTTTTTTCGGTAAAGTCACGTTGAAGAGAAACAACAAAATAATATAATATATATTACCGAAAAAACTAAGAATATGAATAGGTAGCAGAGCGTTTATTTGCAAGGCGACTTAACGAACTGCACGAACGCGGGCGACACAAAAACCACGTCGTAACTCCCGGTCAAAGTGCGCCGTCTAATGGGGCGAAACGGGGGCATTACAGGCGAAAGGTAAAATGTAATTTAATAATAGTAACAATAATATTTGGATTGGTTCGGCGGGCCGCATTACAAAGCCCAACGGGCCGTACTTTGCCCACGTCGGGGCTAGAGGATTCGTCCTCATGCTTGGCGTGCCATCCTCACGCTTTACCCTGCTTAGCGGGCACCGCCGCTGGGCACGTTCGGACCCGGCGCTGGCAAGGGCCGGAGGTCGGAAGTCCCATGGGGACAACTACCTAGATGTCTTGAGTCTTGATGTGAGTGAGGGCCGACTCACGCTGGGGGGAGAGCTGCTGCTGCTGCTGCCCTTTATATCCTTCTCCCTCCCAAGTGTCCTGTCTCTCGAGATGGTCTGGGTCCAAGCGTCCTGTCTCTCGAGATGGTCTGGGTCCAAGTGTCCTGTCTCTCGAGATGGTCTGGGTCCAAGTGTCCTGTCTCTCGAGATGGTCTGGGTCCAAGTGTCCTGTCTCTCGAGATGGTCTGGGTCCAAGCGTCCTGTCTCTCGAGAGGGTCTGGGTCCAAGTGTCCTGTCTCTCGAGAGGGTCTGGGTCCAAGTGTCCTGTCTCTCGAGATGGTCTGGGTCCAAGCGTCCTGTCTCTCGAGATGGTCTGGGTCCAAGCGTCCTGTCTCTCGAGATGGTCTGGGTCCAAGTGTCCTGTCTCTCGAGAGGGTATGGGTCCAAGCGTCCTGTCTCTCGAGACGGTCTGGGTCCAAGCGTCCTGTCTCTCGAGAGGGTCTGGGTCCAAGCGTCCTGTCTCTCGAGAGGGTCTGGGTCCAAGTGTCCTGTCTCTCGAGATGGTCTGGGTCCAAGTGTCCTGTCTCTCGAGATGGTCTGGGTCCAAGCGTCCTGTCTCTCGAGATGGTCTGGGTCCAAGTGTCCTGTCTCTCGAGATGGTCTGGGTCCAAGTGTCCTGTCTCTCGAGAGGGTCTGGGTCCAAGTGTCCTGTTTCTCGAGATGGTCTGGGTCCAAGTGTCCTGTCTCTCGAGATGGTCTGGGTCCAAGTGTCCTGTCTCTCGAGAGGGTCTGGGTCCAAGTGTCCTGTCTCTCGAGATGGTCTGGGTCCAAGTGTCCTGTCTCTCGAGATGGTCTGGGTCCAAGTGTCCTGTCTCTCGAGATGGTCTGGGTCCAAGCGTCCTGTCTCTCGAGATGGTCTGGGTCCAAGTGTCCTGGCTCTCGAGAGGGTCTGGGTCCAAGTGTCCTGTCTCTCGAGAGGGTCTGGGTCCAAGTGTCCTGTCTCTCGAGATGGTCTGGGTCCAAGTGTCCTGTCTCTCGAGATGGTCTGGGTCCAAGTGTCCTGTCTCTCGAGATGGTGTAGGTCCAAGTGTCCTGTCTCTCGAGAGGGTCTGGGTCCAAGTGTCCTGTCTCTCGAGAGGGTCTGGGTCCAAGTGTCCTGTCTCTCGAGATGGTCTGGGTCCAAGTGTCCTGTCTCTCGAGAGGGTCTGGGTCCAAGTGTCCTGTCTCTCGAGATGGTCTGGGTCCAAGTGTCCTGTCTCTCGAGATGGTCTGGGTCCAAGTGTCCTGTCTCTCGAGATGGTCTGGGTCCAAGTGTCCTGTCTCTCGAGATGGTCTGGGTCCAAGTGTCCTGTCTCTCGAGAGGGTCTGGGTCCAAGTGTCCTGTGTCTCGAGATGGTCTGGGTCCAAGTGTCCTGTCTCTCGAGAGGGTCTGGGTCCAAGCGTCCTGTCTCTCGAGAGGGTCTGGGTCCAAGTGTCCTGTCTCTCGAGATGGTCTGGGTCCAAGTGTCCTGTCTCTCGAGATGGTCTGGGTCCAAGTGTCCTGTCTCTCGAGATGGTCTGGGTCCAAGTGTCCTGTCTCTCGAGATGGTCTGGGTCCAAGCATCCTGTCTCTCGAGACGGTCTGGGTCCAAGCGTCCTGTCTCTTGAGAGGGTCTGGGTCCAAGTGTCCTGTCTCTCGAGAGGGTCTGGGTCCAAGTGTCCTGTCTCTCGAGATGGTCTGGGTCCAAGTGTCCTGTCTCTCGAGATGGTCTGGGTCCAAGCGTCCTGTCTCTCGAGATGGTCTGGGTCCAAGTGTCCTGTCTCTCGAGAAGGTCTGGGTCCAAGTGTCCTGTCTCTCGAGATGGTCTGGGTCCAAGCGTCCTGTCTCTCGAGATGGTCTGGGTCCAAGTGTCCTGTCTCTCGAGAGGGTCTGTGTCCAAGTGTCCTGTCTCTCGAGATGGTCTGGGTCCAAGTGTCCTGTCTCTCGAGATGGTCTGTGTCCAAGTGTCCTGTCTCTCGAGATGGTCTGGGTCCAAGTGTCCTGTCTCTCGAGATGGTCTGGGTCCAAGCGTCCTGTCTCTCGAGATGGTCTGGGTCCAAGTGTCCTGTCTCTCGAGATGGTCTGGGTCCAAGTGTCCTGTCTCTCGAGATGGTCTGGGTCCAAGTGTCCTGTCTCTCGAGATGGTCTGGGTCCAAGCGTCCTGTCTCTCGAGATGGTCTGGGTCCAAGCGTCCTGTCTCTCGAGATGGTCTGGGTCCAAGTGTCCTGTCTCTCGAGATGGTCTGGGTCCAAGTGTCCTGTCTCTCGACATGGTCTGGGTCCAAGTGTCCTGTCTCTCGAGATGGTCTGGGTCCAAGTCGTCCTGTCTCTCGAGATGGTCTGGGTCCAAGTGTCCTGTCTCTCGAGATGGTCTGGGTCCAAGTGTCCTGTCTCTCGAGATGGTCTGGGTCCAAGTGTCCTGTCTCTCGAGATGGTCTGGGTCCAAGTGTCCTGTCTCTCGAGATGGTCTGGGTCCAAGTGTCCTGTCTCTCGAGATGGTCTGGGTCCAAGTGTCCTGTCTCTCGAGATGGTCTGGGTCCAAGTGTCCTGTCTCTCGAGAGGGTCTGGGTCCAAGTGTCCTGTCTCTCGAGATGGTCTGGGTCCAAGTGTCCTGTCTCTCGAGATGGTCTGGGTCCAAGTGTCCTGTCTCTCGAGATGGTCTGGGTCCAAGTGTCCTGTCTCTCGAGATGGTCTGGGTCCAAGTGTCCTGTCTCTCGAGATGGTCTGGGTCCAAGTGTCCTGTCTCTCGAGATGGTCTGGGTCCAAGTGTCCTGTCTCTCGAGATGGTCTGGGTCCAAGTGTCCTGTCTCTCGAGATGGTCTGGGTCCAAGTGTCCTGTCTCTCGAGATGGTCTGGGTCCAAGTGTCCTGTCTCTCGAGATGGTCTGGGTCCAAGTGTCCTGTCTCTCGAGATGGTCTGGGTCCAAGTGTCCTGTCTCTCGAGATGGTCTGGGTCCAAGTGTCCTGTCTCTCGAGATGGTCTGGGTCCAAGTGTCCTGTCTCTCGAGATGGTCTGGGTCCAAGTGTCCTGTCTCTCGAGATGGTCTGGGTCCAAGTGTCCTGTCTCTCGAGATGGTCTGGGTCCAAGTGTCCTGTCTCTCGAGATGGTCTGGGTCCAAGTGTCCTGTCTCTCGAGATGGGTCTGGGTCCAAGTGTCCTGTCTCTCGAGATGGTCTGGGTCCAAGTGTCCTGTCTCTCGAGATGGTCTGGGTCCAAGTGTCCTGTCTCTCGAGATGGTCTGGGTCCAAGTGTCCTGTCTCTCGAGATGGTCTGGGTCCAAGTGTCCTGTCTCTCGAGATGGTCTGGGTCCAAGTGTCCTGTCTCTCGAGATGGTCTGGGTCCAAGTGTCCTGTCTCTCGAGATGGTCTGGGTCCAAGTGTCCTGTCTCTCGAGATGGTCTGGGTCCAAGTGTCCTGTCTCTCGAGATGGTCTGGGTCCAAGTGTCCTGTCTCTCGAGATGGTCTGGGTCCAAGTGTCCTGTCTCTCGAGATGGTCTGGGTCCAAGTGTCCTGTCTCTCGAGATGGTCTGGGTCCAAGTGTCCTGTCTCTCGAGATGGTCTGGGTCCAAGTGTCCTGTCTCTCGAGAGGGTCTGGGTCCAAGTGTCCTGTCTCTCGAGAGGGTCTGGGTCCAAGTGTCCTGTCTCTCGAGATGGTCTGGGTCCAAGTGTCCTGTCTCTCGAGATGGTCTGGGTCCAAGTGTCCTGTCTCTCGAGATGGTCTGGGTCCAAGTGTCCTGTCTCTCGAGAGGGTCTGGGTCCAAGTGTCCTGTCTCTCGAGAGGGTCTGGGTCCAAGTGTCCTGTCTCTCGATAGGGTCTGGGTACAAGGTCCTGTCTCTCGAGATTGTCTGGGTCAAGGTCCTGTCCCCGAGATCGTCTGGGTCAAAGTGTCCTGTCTCTCGAGATGGTCTGGGTCCAAGTGTCCTGTCTCTCGAGATGGTCTGGGTCCAAGTGTCCTGTCTCTCGAGATGGTCTGGGTCCAAGTGTCCTGTCTCTCGAGAGGGTCTGGGTCCAAGTGTCCTGTCTCTCGAGAGGGTCTGGGTCCAAGCATCATGTCTCTCGAGATGGTCTGGGTCCAAGTGTCCGTCTCTCGAGATTGTCTGGGTCCAAGTGTCCCTGTCTCTCGAGATGGTCTGGGTCCAAGTGTCCTGTCTCTCGAGATGGTTCTGGGTTCCAACTGTCCTGTCTCTCGAGATGGTCTGGTCCAAGTGTCCTGTCTCTCGAGAGGGTCTGGGTCCAAGTGTCCTGTCTCTCGAGAGGGTCTGGGTCCAAGTGTCCTGTGTCTCGAGATGGTCTGGGTCCAAGTGTCCTGTCTCTCGAGAGGGTCTGGGTCCAAGCGTCCTGTCTCTCGAGAGGGTCTGGGTCCAAGTGTCCTGTCTCTCGAGATGGTCTGGGTCCAAGTGTCCTGTCTCTCGAGATGGTCTGGGTCCAAGTGTCCTGTCTCTCGAGTTGGTCTGGGTCCAAGTGTCCTGTCTCTCGAGATGGTCTGGGTCCAAGTGTCCTGTCTCTCGAGATGGTCTGGGTCCAAGTGTCCTGTCTCTCGAGATGGTCTGGGTCCAAGTGTCCTGTCTCTCTCCCTCCCTCAGTGGGCTCTGGCCTGCTCGCCCCTGGTCAACGGTTATTGTAGTCGTGGCTCATGCAATACTGCTACGCAGGTAAAGTATTATACATGTTGCGCGTAACAATGCCGCTACGTGTGTATCTGTGTGTGTGTATGGGAGGGGAGCGGTGGCGCAGCGGTTAGCGCCATGCCGCGCTATGAACCCGGCGACCCGGGTTCGATTCCCTGCTCACGGCCAACACCGCCGGTGACGATTCTCTGAACCGGTCCCGGGGCCTCCACCCTAGGTCGACTCAGCCTCAAATGAGTACCTGGTGCGGTGTGTAGTAAACATCGCCACTGGGGGAGACAAAGGCGGTCGTGCGTGGTGCTGGACACCCACCCCCTCGTGTGCCGTTAC